AGAATGGCAGGTGGGCCCTCCATGTTCAGTGACTCTCCCTGGAGACCTGGGGCTCCACAGGACAAGACACACATCGGGACACATCACCAGGAGGGGTTAAGAAGAGCCCAGCCCTCAAGGGTGGGGCACGGAGGCCTCATCACTAGACACGGCCATGGAAGGATAAAAAACATAATGATGGACATTTGTTCAGGGCCTGGCAAGTGATGGACACTGCTGTCAGTACGTTCCACTATCGCCACTTAATCCTGACAGCTGCTTTATGAGATAGAAATCACCACTACGTCTTCGGTACCAATGGGGAAACTGAGGCTCACAGCCATAAGTAATGTGCTGGATGTCAGTCAGCTAGCAAGTAGCAGAGTGAGGACACCTACCCAGGACACCCAAGTGGAAGTGTGTTGGCTCTTGTCACTGGGACACAAAGCTGACACCAAGGGCTTAAAAGAGGGGCGGTTTAATTTGAGTCAGGGCTCAGGGGATTGAGTCCACCGTCTGCTGGTCCCAAGGCAGATGCGGCACGGTGGGAGGGCTGGTCAAGGAGCACCACTTATGTCCTGGTAGCCAGCAAGTGGAGCGAGAAGGGAGGCACGCAGGAGGGGCGACTCGACAGCCAAAGGCAGCGCCCGCCTTTCCCGACCAAGCCCACGGCCTCAAGCTCGGTTGGCTACGAACTCTCAGCAGATGAGCTCGGTGCCTGCGATACAGCTGCCCTGAGGAGATCACTGGGGAAGGTACTGGAGCGAAACCATAGCCCAAGGATCGCCAGGGTAGCAGAAGGACGAGAGAAGGGCGAAGGCAGCAGCGAGGCACGGAAGACCACAGCCACATCTACGAGGAGGAGCCCCGGGCTTCTCCCAGCACACGCCCCTGGTGTCCAGCCGCCCCGGGTGGGCCCCGGGACTCGCCCTGCGCTCCTGCCCCCAAGCACTGTCCTCCAGGCCCAGGCGGCAGCTCCGCCTTCGCAGGGCCTGCTGGAGCGCTGGCCCTTCGCACATGAGCAGCCTGGGCGTGCTGATGGGAGTTGGGCTGCACACTGGGCTCTCTCGCTCGCTCTTCAGGTTGGGGTGCATTGCCCTTGGGGATTAAGCTGTTGACAGCTGCCTGAGGACACACCTCACACAGGCACCACCAGACACGCTGCTGCCCCCTCCCTGCTGCTCTTGCAGGGCTGGGACATTTCGGGGCAAGCTGGAGGTCCATGGTGGCCCATCCCGGACCCACAGAGACACGCAGCCCAGTGTGCAGTGGGTGAGGCTCAGAGCAGGCTGGGATGCATGTGCTGTGTCCCTGCAGGATGTCCCAGGACGCTGTCTGTGCCCTGGTCTGGCCCGTTCACAAATGACTCACCTAAGACCCAGTGCAAGACGAGACCTGGCAAGGGCTCGGAGGACTGCACAGCAGAGCGGGCTTTCTCCAGGCATATGTGTGCCTGCGCGCCCCCCGGAGCGTCTCCCAGCCCACCTCCCTGCTCGGCGCGCCCCTTGCCTCATCCCCCTTCTTCTGTTCTAGTGGTAGCTCTCTACCTTCACATTCTCTCTCCTTTCTGCTTTCCCCCTACGGGAGGAGACGCAGACTGCTTGCCTTTCTGAGTCTGGCTTATTTCACTTCCCATCAGGGTCTGTACTGCCAGCCAGTTTTTTCTAAATGACATGATTTTCCTTTTTTCTAAGCAATAATATTCCACTCTGTATACCCATTCATGCGTTTATGGGCATCTAGGCTGTTGCCATCATCATTTTGCTATTTTTCTTAATTTTTAAAAAAATCTTTTATTAATTGATTTCATTGGTACAGGGTCTCACTACACAGCTCGGGCTCGTAGTGATCCTCCTGTCTCAGCCTCCCGAGTACTGGGATCACAGTACTTGTGTCACCACACTCAGTTTCAGTAGCCAACACGGAGGCACAGCATGGGGTACCAGGGATCTGGCCTGGGTCCTTGCACTTGCCAGGCAGGCACTTAGACCAGCAGGCTATCTTCCCAGCCCACTTCACTATTTTGAGTTGTGCTGTGCCAAGCACGGGCTCTTGGTACGTGGTCCTTGTAGCATTCTAATTTAACACTTCTGTTTATGTTTTAAAGAATACAAAATGGAAAAAAAATAGGAATGATGAAAATTTCATTAAATAAAGTAATAGGAATTCGTCAATGGTTGCTATATGGCAGCGTGTCATCTTCAAATTAGTGTGTAAGTTACCAGACATAAACCTGCAAAATTGGTTTAAAAAAAGTTATAAGAAATTTAAAAAGGAGAAGAAAATAAGTAAAATTTTAAAATTAAAAAAGTAAGCATTGACAGGTCCTTTCGGTAGACCAGCAGAGACCGGCGGCACAATTATGCAAGCGACCCTGCACACATACATGAGTGTATCTTCTCCCTTTTCTGCACCCCCCCCCCATATTTTAGGGAAGGATCTATAGGTCTACAGGGTGTTCAGGGTCTCACTACTAGATCAGACTCTAGTGATCTTCCTGTTTACAGCCTCTAAAAGTTGGGATTACAGGCACGCGCCACCACACCCAGTCGCAATTACTGTCTCAGTGTGTCCTGGGGCAGGGCTTGCACAGAAGGCCCAGGGATCAAACCCCCAGTCTCTGAGCCTGCTTGCAGATGCTCTAATCCGCTGAGCTATTTGGCTGGCCCTGATTATATCTTTTTTTCTCTTCTTCTTCTTCTTCTTCTTCTTCTTCTTCTTCTTCTTCTTCTTCTTCTTCTTCTTCTTCTTCTTCTTCTTCTTCTTTTCTT